TACGTACCCCTACCCCTTTTTTTTTTTTTTTTTTGTCATTTCAAACTTCCATCTAATTTGTGGTCCTATATAATCCTGAAATAGGTTTTTTCCCCCATTACTGCTTTCCAATTAAGTTCTGGGGCCTTGAAATTCAGTCTATCCTGGATTGCATTTTCTGCCCTGCAGGGTTAATTCCATTGAATAGCATCAAAATCCTGTTTAAAAAAATCCCTTCCTTCATGTAGATCGGGTGAAATATTAGGGCTCTGGGACTATTTACCCTTTATCAGATCGCTATATTTTGGATAACTATTCCCCGGTTCTATCAGTTTGCATTTTATCGGGATGTAAATACCTATTGTATTTCCTGTCCCTGCTTCAAACATCTCTCTATCAAAGTGTATTATTTCTAACATCATCATCTTCTCTCTTTTTTTTTTTTTTGCTGTACTTGTCTGGTGCTGCACTGATGGACGAGGGGAGAAAGAGGGCTGATATAGCCCCTTACTTTCATGCAAGCACAGGGTAGGATCTAGGATCTCTCCCTAAGATGTGAGATTGCCAAGGGAGGAGGATGTCCATCTACAGTGCTGACTTGTGTATTTTAGGAGTCCACAGGCCAGTGAGGATGTAAGCTGCAGTCAGCGCACGTAGCTGTTTCTTTTCACAGGTGCATTAAAACATTCTCTTTCCTCACTATCCTCAGGCCCACCCGTGTAATACCACCCTGGCCAGCAGCATTAACTACAGAGAGAGACGTGTCTCCCAGAATCCAGGCTCGCCTTTGTAGCACAAGCCAGAGAAGGATTTGGCCTTTAGTCTACAATAACATTGAATGAATATGTTATTTGGATCATTAATAGAAATGCTGAATGAAATCTTGCCTAGCACTGATCCCTACAGCACCCACTGGCCTACCTGGGTACATATCTGTTTGTCAGTAGCCTCTGAGGCAGTTTTCAATGGACATGAACGTACACAGAGTTATACCAACTGGAACTCATCTTTCAGCCAGGATTTTGTGAGGGACTGTGCCAAGGGATTTAAAGTCCATCTTTATGACATCTTTAAAATGCCACAGCAGTGCCCAGTCAAACACTGCAGCCACCTTTGTAACAAGAGGAGCTGAAAGTCAGGCTCCTCACTCTGGTATTTAGCCCTATAACAAGAGGCCTGGTTTTCAAAACAGCTGAGCTCCCAGCAGCTCTCCCATCATAGGAGCGTTGAGTGCTCAGCACATTTGAAAATCTAAATATAGATGGAGGAGCACAGTTTCAGGTTCCAATTTTTGAAAATCTTGGCTGCGATGTTAGGTTGAGGTAGTTTGGGGCACCTCCATTTATCTGGAAGCAGGGCTCCATGTCCTTATTTTGGAAAATATCCAGACGCTCAGTTCTCACTAGCCTTTCTAGTCACAATTCTAGCTCACTTCTTTACCTAGCCATCCACGCATAGGCATTTGTAGAACACCCATCACCAGGGTATCTATGCACAGCTTCATCCGTCATTTAAATTCTTACCTCCATCTTGAGAGGGGGATATTGGAACGTTAGTGTTAGCTCATCAGTGAGCTTTTCATTAGTTTCCTGAATCTCAGCAATAATGTTGACCGTGATGAGAAGTTCATCCTCAACAGATGTTATAGTCTTCATATAAGCATCAGCTGCTATATTCAGAGGGAGCTGAATAACTGGACCAACAACAGGGGGAAAAAAGATGTTAATGCAGCATATTCTGTACACAACAGAAGGTTGAAGCAGAAAGTCAGTTGGTCTTCATGAAAATGTTTCGTGATATCTATTCTACATAGACTTGATGTGCTGCACAGCTTTAATTATGGACCAATAATGGGGACTGTTTTGCTTCTGGTTTAATGTGGTTCCAACTAGGGATGTAAATAATGGTTAAAAAAATAACCATGTAACTGGGGAACTATGGGTGTGGGGGGTGCTGCAGGATCCCCACGTTTTACATGGGGCTCCACTGCCAGCCCCTGCTGCGGGGTTTCCCAGCTGCCGGCCCTCACCGCTGGCCCCAATGCCCGGGGACTCCACTGCCCACCCCCGCGCCCAGGGTTTCTCCTGGCTGCCACCCTCGGGGCAGCAACGGAGTCCTGGGCTCAGGCAGCAGCGGAGTTTAACTGAAACAGATAAGACTGATGCTTATCCATTAACTGGTTAAACTTTTACATCCCTAGTTCCAATATGGGCAGAAGGTGAATTATCTGCAGAGGACCTGGGCTGAAACTCACAGAAAAGGGTGTGGCTGCAGTTACTAAACAAGCCACGGTTAGGATTGAGGAATGGAACTCCAAAGAAAGTCCCACCCAGGCCTCCGCACAGTAATGATGGGGCCTATATGTGTGAGAACCAGGGACATGAAGACCCTCTGGGAGAAAAGTTCAAGTGAACAATATCTGATTGACAAGGGAAGATTCTGTCCCATATGTAACTCTTGGCAGCAGCGCTCAGCACTTATTAGTTATAGTGTGTTTCCTTGATTCAGAAGTAGTTTGATAGGATGGATTGTAAAGTGCCTAAGTGCATTATAATTATATAGACTCCCCTGCACAAATCCCTCTTTGCTATGCCATAAGCATCGTCAGACCACAGGTCATACACCTGTGTTGATTCACAGTCATTCCACACTAGCTCTGTTGAAGACACATTGCAGTATCATAAGAGAAGACACATGGGATAGGACAGATTCCTGGACCCACCAGGTTTGCCTTCGGTCTGGACAGTCTGTTTGATGGATCCAAGATTGGCCTCTACTTTCCCGGTGTAGGACTGCAGTTGACAAGAGGCAACGAGATTGATCGTCCATGCACCAGCAGAACTGTTTTGTACAATGATGTTCAGATTAATGGGATTGCCCAGCCATAAAACTTTTTCGCCCTCTACATCCAGTTGGATCCCAGCCCGGAGGGGTGGAAGAGGAGTTGTGCTCTCACAAACTGCCAAATTTGAAGAGTTCAGATAGGAGCAAGCCTTTTCCACGGCTTTCCTTTCCTCTGGAGAGCCTGAATACCAGGAAAAGGAAAAGCAAAGCTAAAGTCATAATAAATAATATGCACTGTAATTTCCTCAATCTGGTCCAATTTTTCCTGTTTATCCTTCTGCTAAAATATAGACAGCATAGCAAGACATGCTTCCCAGCACTGAGCACTGCATGTTTAAACTAGTCTACATATCTCTCCGGATTTTACTCTACCATAGGATCTAAACAGTAGGTGAACACACCAGGCCAGATTTTCAGAAGTGACCAGTAATTTTGTGGGTTGTCAATTTGAGACACTTCAGGGGACCCTGATCTTTAGAAGACAGGTGCTCAGCACTTCCTGAAAATCAGTCTCTCCAGTTGGGCACCCAAACCACACTACTCTTTTTTGAAAACTTAGGCCACCAGGTTTACACAACTCAGGGGTGAAGGAGGATGACTGCGAGTCAATATGAATATACGTGGTGACCAAAATCTACACTAAAAGTGTTCCATAGAACTTTGTACATACAGAATGGAGCGTGAAGCAGGTTCAGAGATCCCAGGCTTCTGTTCACAAGAATGGGCTAGCACAAAGACCTAAGACTGCAAGAGCTGAGGAGAAGTAAACTTATCTAAAATATCTATATTGGAAGACTGGTGAGAAGAGGATCAAATGCAGAGTCTAACTTAAATGCCTTTCTGCAATGTTCCTCTGATTTCCCAATTTGGCTGTTCCTCAAATGAGATGTTTTAATAGTCACATTGCTTAACATAGCAAGTTTTGGGTATGTGGTAAGGGGGGTGGGGGAAGGAGCGGTTTCTTGAAATATGATATAATTTGTTGATAGAAGAAGATAAGAAATGGAGCAGTTTTGGATCAAGCAGAACTGCTGAATCTATTGGGCCTACTTCTCTTGTTAATAGCATGCTTGCTACAACCTCTTACTAGAAAACAGCCAGCAGGTGTCACTGCGGACACAAAGATACTCATAAACGAATTTTCCTGATTCCCTCGCTGTTTCTGAATGTATTTTGCTGAGTAGTACACTTTAAATGTGCATTACTAAAGCAGCCGATCGGATTTCCACACTGATAAAGCATGTGACTACTCTGGTATCTGCAGAAAATCACATGACCAGCAGTCTCATCTTATCTTCTACAGGATGCTGGAAAGATCTCAACCGGTCACCTTCTGGGAATTTGTACTGTGTCGTAATGTCTTCCCTTGTGTTCTTCCCAACAGCTTTGGTGCTGATGCTCTTCCCAATGGCCTTGGTCTCCTCACGCAGTTTGACAAGTTTCTGTTTGCCATTCACGTTCTTCACTTGCCAGAAGACCCTGTCGGCATTCACTTCAGCAAACACAAACTTGGAGTCGTACAGCAAATAGACTTCTCCACTTCTGATGGCTTTTAGTGGACAAGGGCCGCACTGGTAAACACCTAAAGAGTATGTTGAATGTTACTTGCTTTTCACATGTATTAAGTGAGGCTCCATTTTCCTCAATCACCACATACACATAATATCCCTGACCTCCCACAGCAGTGGCCCACCCCCATGGTAACGGAACCTGGCAATAAATACTCCTCCACACTAGTTCCGAGCCCAAAACGTTTTCGCTCCTTTAAGTAGCAGATTTTTTACACGATGAAATGTGACTTGTATCAAAGGTGCAAAGCTCAGAGTGGCCTGTAAGAACTTCTATATATTTTACTCTCTTGAAGAAACACAGAATGAGAAAGAGACAGTCTTGTGACTCAGGGAGTTGGACTCTGGAACCCTGGGTTCAACTCCCAATTGTGCCATTGACCTGCTGTGTGATCTTGGGTAAGGCACTTTAACCCTCTGTACCCCAGTTCCCCATCTGTAATATAGGATAATACTACCCTATTTGACAATACTTCCTGTCATTTACAGATGTATAGAACCAGGGCCAGTAATACCTTCCCAGGGAAACCCTACAGAAAGGGCAACATTACATGGGAAACCTGAGAAGCTGCAATTTGTGGTTTCTGACTCACTGTCCGGTTGGGGAGAGGAAATCATGGTCCTCCTGTTGTGAAGCCTTTGCAGAAATCCCATGGCTCAGAAGGTATTGGAACCTTGATGCTACTCCCTGGGCCTCCTGGCTAGCAGCACAGCACCTGCCTCCTCCTCTACCATAACCCATTCCCCAAAAGAAAGCAGTGTGAGAATGTTATGATTAACTGCCATGGAGTTTGCAAGAACACCAGGTAGAGAAACTGTTCCATGACGATGCAATCTCTGTCCACCTTCCTGAAGCCTATGAAGCCCTAACCACATGGGGTTTCCCTCCATAGGTTCAAAAAAGTGACACCCTTCCCTCAGCTGTTTAAAGGAGTGGGATTTCTCTTCCTTTCAGCCCATTCGCAATGCAGAGTGGGGATGGAAAAGGGATTGTGGGTCAGATAAAGCCCCTGAAGTATGGGCTACTGGACTGAGACTCAGGAGTCCTGAATTCTATTCCCAGCTTTGCCACTGACCTGCTGGGTGACCTTGGACAAAGCACAGCTCTGTGCCTCAGTTTCCCCATATGTAAAACAAGGATAATGATACTGACTTCCTTTGTAAATCAGTTGAAATCTACTGATGAAAAGCACCATATAAATGTTTTATTGTTATTTGAAATCTGATTGTTGATTTTGTAAGGAACTTTTTTTTTTCCTCAAGACACTGGGAACAATTCCCCATAAGAACCATTCAGGTTCAGTGCACTAAGGGCCTTGTCCCAGTTTAAACTTCCTATTATTCATGACACTCTGTTCCCTTCCCTCCCTCTGCAGTCCCCTAGTGCTTCGTTAGATGCCATCTCCCTCCAGCCTCCTCCTTACTCTGGAGTAGGAGAGATCTGATAAATAATCCTATTCTTTGTATGTTCACTGTTGGTAGCCCTGGTTGCCATCCCCAGCCGAGCTGATGCTGCTAGGAATCCTACCACATTCTCCCCTATGAAACCAGCTGCAGACATGCAATTTCTAAGCAGGTTTTACAAAGCAGCAAAAGATTTCCGAAGCCCAATATCACGGCGCTTCCTGAGCGCCCTCAATTCCCACTGACTATAACGAGAGTTGACAGGGCTCAGCACCACGCAGCACTGCAGGATCAGGCCCTTTGCATCTATCTGCATGTGCTGGAGTTCAGCATCTTTCAGTTTGCAATGATATTTCTAGGCCTTCTTTATTTCAGCTCTTCTGACTCCTGCTACAATTATACAGTTGCTGACTACTCTGTTCCCAAACCCGAAATGGCAAGGGACAGCATATTAAATAGCATCGGTAACAGGGGCTAATGCACAGGCCAACCCTTTGAAACCTGCTTTATCTATAGGATCTAGAGATGTATACTGATGGATGTTGGAAACTGACCCAAAAAGGTACAGGTTGAAAAAAGTGTGTTAACAGAATTTACTGTAAAATAAAAAGAGTGCTTTGCCTTTCTGTAGTTCTTGTAATCGGAGGACATCAAAATGCTTTGCTAACATTAATCAATTAGTCTTCACAACACTCTTTTAGGCAGGTAACTATCATCTTCTGTTCAGTATTGGATAAACTGAGGCCCAGAGAGGCAAAATGACTTGCCCAAGGTCCCCAGTAAATCCAGGCAGAGATGAGAACAGAACCCAGATCAGGAGCCCATGCTCCAATCCCTTAAACCATTTTCATTTCCTAGTGCCATGAAATGTTTGATTTTCTGCTTGCAAAAATGCCATAACATTTATATCCACGGCACCAGCAGTGAGGCCAAAGGACTTTCATTTAAGAGGTCAGAGCATAGGGCTGGGAACCAGGAGATCTAACTTCTATTCTCAGCTCTACCCCTGTGTGAACTTGGGCAACTCACTTCACTCAGGTTTGACATGAATTGGATTAGTCAAGTGCTTAAAGTGTTTAAGTGCTTTGCTGAAAAATTTTCCTTGTAGAATATCCCTCCCGCCTCCCAGATCACAATAGAGTCTCTTTGTTTGTAAATCTTACCTTGACTTATCTCCTGGGGGGTGGCATCAACTGCCTGCCAACCGTCAAAACCCTGGGGCAAGTCTGGCCTTTTCATCCACACATCATTCCACACGTGAAAATTCCTACATGCAAGTAGGTTGCAAAATTAAAAACAAAATTATTTGCACCCTGCAATTTAACATGCACGTTCAGCCAAAGAGCTGAGTGATCATATTGATCCCCCAGAGGAAGAAGTGGGCTCAGTTTTGTACCCTGACTCATTTTTACAGCAGAAATACTTTTTTAAAGAATGGGGGGAGGAAATCTGTATTTTCCATGCATTACGTCCTTTGCACGTTGTGAGAAGAGAGCTGTAAACCACTGCAGCAGTCTTACCTCTTTCTGTCTTTAATTGTCTGATTGGGTCAGATTGTGATCTCCTTACTCACACTGACTGGTAGTCTACACTGCAGCTTTACCACGGGTGGCAACAGGGCTGGCGCAACCCATTAGGCAACCTAGGCGGTCGCCTAGGGCACTACAATTTGGAGGGTGGCGACTGCGGCGGTATTTCAGCAGCGGGACCTTCCACTGACTAGGGTGGCAGAAAAGCTGGCGGCGCGCCTGGGTGGCAATGAGACTAGTTGGGGAGACACGTGCTACTCAGCCTGAACAAGGGGGCCACAGTCTGGCCCTTTATGTGATCGTTGCTAAAAAGACCCTTAATGTTATTTTTAAAAATGTACCACCTGATCCAATGTCCACTGTAGGCCATAAAAGTCTTCCGTTGAGTTAAAAGAGCATTGGATTAGGCCCTTACTGCTCACGGGCAAAGTATGATTTTCAAAGGCTCATGTGGCCAAGTCAACACCAAATTGCATCAGGTCACTTGGAAACACTTCTCTGGTCCAAGGGTTGTTTCCATGACACATCTCAAGCACCAACCATGTAGTGGGGGCAAAAGACATATCTAGCTTCAAGACTAAGCTTGATAAGTTTATGGAGGGGATGGTATGATGGGATAGCCTAATTTTGGCAATTAATTGATCTTTGATTATTAGCAGGTAAATATGCCCAATGGTCTGTGATGGGATGTTAGATGGGGTGGGATCCGAGTTACTACAGAGAATTCTTTCCTGGGTGCTGGCTGGTGAGTCTTGCCCACATGCTCAGGGTTTAAGTGATCGCCATATTTGGGGTCGGGAAGGAATTTTCCTCCAGGGCAGATTGGCAGAAGCCCTGGGGGGTTTTCGCCTTCCTCTGCAGTGTGGGGCATGGGTCACTTGCTGGAGGAGTATCTGCACCTTGAGGTCTTTAAACCACGATTTGAGGACTTCAATAACTCAGATATAGGTTAGGGGTTTGTTACAGGAGTGCATGGGTGAGATTCTGTGGCCTGTGTTGTGCAGGAGGTCAGACTAGATGATCATAATGGTCCCTTCTGACCTTAAAATCTATGAGTCTATGAGACACTAGAACTAAGTAATACGTAAGGTTTTTTTTCATAATGGAAAAAAAAAGGCATTTTTTCATTTTCTTCACCCACAAAGATGGCTGAAACACTTTTCCATGTGGTTTGCAGGAAAATTCAACTTCAGAAAGAGACCAGGCATGCAAAATTTCAGCCAGATAGGACAGAAAGATATGAGCAGGTCAAACCAAGAGCTTAGAATGGAACAGCTTGGGAATCCTTAACTACAGCTGCAGCTAAGGCTAGAACACAAACCCTGCTAGAGCCCAAACTGTCTATTCCTCTCAGATGCAGGTCGAACAGGGAAATGCCTATAGAAAATATTCAAGCTACCTCTTATTGTTCAGCTGCAAACCCAAAATAATAGAGAAGTTCTAAAAGAAACACCTCCTGGGGCTTAGAAATACAAATGAAAGTTCTACAGGAAAGCTTCAGGAGTACAGGAATTATCTAGCGTTCTTTAGAGTTACCAGACAGAGTCTGATGTCATGTCATCCAGTTTTTCGCCTTTTTCATTCAGGTAGATGTCAACTTTCAGATTTTCCTCAGTATCGTGAGCCGAGGCGAAGTTAGTCACACTTCTGGCTGGAATCCCCAGGCAGCGCATGGCTGAAATATACATGAACGAAACCTCACTGGGAAAAGCTATTTGGAAAGTTCCCCACCACCAGCTGCACTGTGTGGCGGAATCTCTCCCCAGTGTTTGGTGTATTGGGAAAGATGGATGGTACCGTATTTTACCTGTAGTAAGAACTCCAGAGAAAACCCAGCACTGACCAAAGCAGATGGGTTTTTTTGTTTTGTAGTATTTCTGCAAAATTGGAGCACTTCCTGTCCAGGCCACGGGGGAGGTTCCGCCAGTATAGGTTCCTGACCAGTTCCCAAAAAGGACTCCTGAGTCATCATTGGAATTAACCTCAGACACAGAGAAGAGAGAAAACAAAGTCAGGCAAGAGACCCAGTGGAACTCAGACTTGTCACGGAGATCTCGTCTGTGCCTGCACTTCCTCTGGGCGCAGGGCACCCACTGCCACTGTAACTATGACAGTTAACAAGGCTGTCTTGCTATCATTAGCTGGCTTCCCTCAGCCAGCTGCCCATGTTCTTCCTGTAAGGCTCAGACATCCAGAGGGGAGATGTAACTGCTGCTCAGAGGAGCTGTAACTCAGCATGCATTTTGCATCATAAATTCTTCTAGTGCACTGAATGGGGAACATACCATGTACAATAGCTGTTCTTCTGATTCTTGCCCTGCAGAGAGTACAACTTCAGCATAGCAGCCATGCATCAGAAAGGACTGGCTAGATAATGTGGGGATGCTACATTGCAGCTACCTTTTCCCTCTACCAGTTTCTTCAGACCCTCCTCCATGTGAGTTATAAGCAAAATCCATTTCAAATTAGGCCTGTAATGGTTTTCTAAATGCCAGGGGCACAGAAGAGATTGAGACAGACAAACAGGAGGAAGAGGGGTTGGGACAAACTGATTTGTAACAGCAAAACAAAAAGAAATGAGTCGATGGCAAGTCACTTCTCAGAGAGACTCACCAAGGCAGACATGGCTCTGGACACAATCACAGGATCTTTTCTAACTTTTTGCTTGAGTTTACTTTTGTCCAGGAGATACATACAGGAGTCCAAGACATCTTCCTCAAACTGTTTTGGAGAGGGAAAAAAAGGCCCGTTTACTTGCTGCTCCAAATGCAAACTGCCTGATTCTGACAAGTCTATTTGAGTTTTCTTACAGCAACTAATTGATATGACTCAGATTAACCTCCAAACCTTATTATGTCAGATGAATTTAGTGTTCATGAATGGTACTGGATTGACTTCCATGGAGACTGAAGTTCACCGGTTATCTACAGAACAGGGCCCCAGAACTGTCATACCTCTGTCTTAAGCTGAAATGGAAGGACCTCGTCGGGGGGGGGAGGGGGGGCAGGGGGGGCGTGGCAAGCATAGACCAGTCTCCATGCATTAATATATAGGACCTTATCCAGCAATCCTTACTCATGTGAGTAGTCTTTAGTTACATTAATAGTCTCACCGAAGTCAGAGAATAAGAGTACTCATGACCTCTGAGATATGTGTGTGCTTACTTAGCTCCTTGAACTGGGGTCTCAATGAAAGGTCACATTTGTTGGAATAGCACCTGCTTATGTTGAGAGAGAGAGAGAGAGAGTGCGCGAGCGAGAGAGTGAGCACACGTGATCATGCCCATATTATTACTGTCTTTTACCTGTCCAAAATTCCAGGGTCTTCCAACTATATTTTGTATTGATCCAACATAGATGTAGCCTGTGTCGCTGAGAACATACTCCAATCTTTCAGTATCATTAGGCATGAAAACTGTGTCAGCTGAAGAAAACACATGAACATGTTACTTGATTTTCATGCACTTCGTAGAAATCTTTTCAAAGGCTGAACAAGTCTTTTTTGTTCTTGAAACAAAGCTAGTGAAGCTTAGAGTTAGTAGCACTGGTTCCAGAAGAATGATTAAAGAGCGTTCAGATTTAAGTCCTGAACTTTCTTCCATCCCTGGAAAAATAACCATGTTCTCTATGAAATGGTAGAAAACGTCTTTATTTTTCACACCTACTTGTTCACAATGAACTGGAGGGTGAACCCCTTTTTCCCCATTGATGAGCCGCTACTCAGAGAAACGGTGCCATTGGCTTAAATGGGACCATTAGTGTGAATAATGGAGCACCAATGGGAGTAAGGGATTCACAGTCACAGTCCGGCCCAGTATCAGTGCTAAATATTATTGGCTGACGTTCCATGGCTTGCAGAATTAGGCGTCAGTGTTTTAAAGAGAAGAGGAGCAAGAAACTGAGAATAAAGAGGAAAGTCTCATCATCTCCTATAGCAGTCATTGTAACCATGTCACGAGGCCATTTCTATTACCTTCACACCAAGGGTTGAACAACACGTAGACAACTTTGTTTCCAGGGTTATAAATGTGAGGCCCAGTTTTCACACTCAGAAAGTATTTTCCAACAGCTGCATCTGCCGGACTGGTCACAGCTACCAGGCACTAAGCAAAGCACAAGGCAGGCGATTATCCATCACATTGCCCCCTCTTCAATGTGAACAAATGTGGTACAAGTAACACTCTCCGATCTTACAGCAACGAATCTAGTCAAGCCTGTGGCGCGTGCTGAAGGGAGAAATGGAGGGGATGAGGACGAGGCAGCTGTCAGAAATATAGTGATAGAGCGATGAATTAAACGGGACGGTGTTTCTCCTATAAAGCTAGCGAGCAGGCAGCAGAAGCCAATCTCAGAGCTCTGAGTACTCTCCCATGTCTCCCAATTAACTCCCCTTCCCATATTGCAGTAACTCTTTCCCAGGCACAGAAAAGGGCACAGCTTCCCTTGAAGCCTGCTGACTCTGTTCCACCTTGCATCCATCTGCCTCAAAGGGGGCCTTAGGGAGTGACACAGGTGTTCTCGCTCTCCCCAAAGCTGAGTGTAGTCCCTGCTTCCACAGCGCCCTCAGGCCCTGGCATACCCAGAGCACCCACTCTGCCATTGCAGCACTGAGTGGTCCTTTCATTTGCCACTTGAATGAATTATGTGTACAAGTGATCTGTTTACCTCCTTCCCACTGGTGTTAGAGATGTTGGCACACCAGCACCGGGAGTCCTGCCCAGACCTCAGGTTCATCGACAAAAGGGTCTCGTTGGATTCCATTGGTTTCTCACCTGGAAATAGATCAATACAAAATACAGAGGAGGTGTGAATCAGCATGTGATAAAATGACAAGTTCTAATGGTTAGACCAGATGTATGGTAGTCAGGACTACAAGGTTCTATTTCCTGTTCTCATGCTTTGATCTATAATCTAGCTACCAGCCACGGTCTGGAAGAAATTAAGTCTCCACTATGATGGTGTAGTATAAAATTGGCCTGGTGCATCCAAACCTTCACCCTTTTCTGTAGCAGCATTGGCTAGTGTTGAGACTGGATACCATACATGTCTGGTCGGGCTAGTGTACCCCAGTATGGCAACTCCTGCATTGCTAGACATACCACTGCAAGCTAAAGGGTTGTGTTCTTACCGACACTGAGCTGCACCACCACTTCGTCATTGTCTTTCAGCTCCCGGTCAAAGGTCAGCTTTAACTGAAACACCTGCCCTCGCCTCACAATCAGACTGGTGTTCTCACGATATTCCTCAGTGTGATGAAGATGGGCATTTTGCTTTTGGAGCAAATCAACTCCAAGGGTCTTCAGGCTGCTGGCTGGAAACAGTGAGCAAGGAGGGAGAAAGAAAAACGGTTTGATGTTAAAACACTCCAGTGGGTGGGAAATTCCAGTTGCTTTTACTGTTTATTTTGTTAAATAACGAAAACAACTGAGTGCAGTTTCTATTCTTAGTGGAGTGGGACCCAACTCCCAAGCCCATCTACGTGTGTTTGATGACTAAGTGCAAACAGCCTTTAAAGAGATTTAGGACCGACTCATGTTAGGACCCCAAACAATCATCCTGCTGCCAAACTCCCCCCGCCTCAGTGTTAACTAGTCAATAACATTGTGCAAGGGGGAGGGTGAAAGTGACTAGAAATAACAGTGAAACAGAAAAGGCTCTGATTACCCAGTGCCCAAACTGAACGAAATGTACAAAATACAAATAAATTAGATTCTTAAAATTCCTTCAGTTTTCTTAAGTTCAGATGTCACTGGCAGCAAAGTATAACCAAGCCATAGACACAAAGGGCCCCATTCATTTCTATACCCAACCAGCACTAGGCAGAGGGCCCAAAACGGGAGGGCAAAGGTGACTTTATGCCACTTTTTCCTTACCCAATCTGGGTGCCAATGTAGGACTGCTCTCCCTTGGGCCTGGCTGCCAAAGGCCCCAAGGAGTCATCGAGGCAGGTGGGAACTGCCAGAGCTCAGAAGCACTCCACTCATGTCTCCATTCCCTCAGGAATAGCCCCCAACATGTTCCCTGTTTGGGGACCTGCTATCGTAGCTGGCATTGAACAATCTGTGCTGATGCTATGCCACATGGGGGGCTTCCCTTATCTCAAGGGCATTTCTCAGAGCAGCCGGTGTAAAGGGACTGCAGCACAGGGATGACATAACTGGCATCTAAACAGCCAACATGCAGCATCAGGAGTAGTACCCAGAACCTTCATTTCCAAAAACACCAGCCACTACCACACAAATTAAGCTTGTGCTGCTCCTTCAGCTCTGCTTGTAGAGGTCTTCATTTTTGCACCTGTAGGAGCTAAGCGTTCATACCCTGTGGCGAGGGGTACGGGATGGTTGGAACAACAGATAGCTAAATTCTAGTCTGATGCCGGATGTGTTCAGTTTAGTTGGCAATTGTGTTGTTTGTGCCAGTTGCTCCTCTGGCACAACGGAACTCTACAATGAGGGTAAAGTTCATCTGTGGGGGACAGAACTTTCTCAAGGGCTGGCCCAGGACTGTGGAATGAACTCCTATAGGAACTAAAGTATGAGGTAGCCATGTTAGTCTGTATCCACAAAAACAACAAGGAGTCTAATATTTATTTGAGCATAAGCTTTCATGGGTAAAAAACCCACTTCTTCAGATGCATGGAGTATCTGAAGAAGTGAGATTTTTTTACCCATGAAAGCTTATGTCCAGATAAATCTGTTAGTCTTTAAAGTGCCACCGGACTCCTTGTTGTTTTTATATGAACTAAAGACCATCCCAAACCTCACCACCGTGCACTCCGAGTGCAAGACACATTTCTTTGACTTTACCTTCTTTCATTTACACATAGAACAACATGCATGTGTATAGATATTAACAAACAAATAAACAAAACCACTCCCTGGTACACACTTCCCCTCCTGGGGTGAGGGTGATAAAACAAACACGAGACAGATGTTAGCTACATTGTTTAATGTGCTACCAGAGGGTGTTCAGATATAGTGGTGATGAGCATGACATAAGAACCTATATATAGAAGAGAGTAGTTTATCTGCATTGCTCTCCAAAACATTTGGATACTGGGTTTCTGCAATGCGCTTCCCTCCTGCCCCTTCTAAATACAACAAACAATTAGTTGTTCAGGATTTTTTGTGATAACTGAAAACAGAACAGAGCAGAGCAAGGGGATTGCCAACTTTTGCCACGGCTGCTCATGCACACCCTACTTCTCGGGGGAGGTGAGCACTGTCAGCTCTATACAATGTGCCTTGTGTAACCATTTTCTTGGTCAACAAAAGCTTGGATTACATCCTTGTCACTTACGGGGACGTTGCCATGGTTTGGAAACTCAACTTTACTGCTCTAGAGTTTAGTCTTCTGTGCTACCAGCTGACATGAGCTAGGCAGGTGCTGAGCTGCGTCTCCTGCTTATTGCATGACAACTGCATCCTGACAACAAATTTTGGATGGGATATTAAACCTCATGCTTCAGGGCTTCAGCCAATCTCTAGCTATTAGACAGCAGTGAGAGACCTGTGGGGGGAGCAGCTTACTCCACACCTGCCTACTGTGGAGTTCTTATACCTTCCTCTGCACCAGCTGGTATTGGACACTCTCAGATACTATGGACTAGATGGATCTTGAATCTTATCCAGTCTGGCAATTCCTGTGTTCCTAATGCTTCATTGATACCTCATTCGCTCCCTCACCCCACATCAATTTGTCTCATTCATCTGTTGTGCCAGCTCATAACCTAGACTATGAATTCTTTGGGGTGTGGATTATCTTTTCACTGCATGTCTACACAGCACTTAGTACAATGGGGTTTTGTTCTTTGAGCAGCACCTGTATGTGCTACAGCAATACTAATCATCGTCGTCTGTGTTAAAATAAACCGTACCAGCATCAAGCTCATCTTTGAGACTCCTGGGGAAGTTTGTTCTTCCTGTTGCTCTCCAATAAGTACCATAGTGAAATATCACAACCAAAATAAGACTGATTACATTTTAGGCATAGACGCTTCATTATTAGCCCTTTAAAATAGATTTCTGAAGCTCTTCGGCAGGGATCTCCTCAGTGGACCATCAGTATGGTTTTATTGCAGGCGGCGAATACTGTAATCATTTCAGTTTATGTATGAGGAAAGTCCTCATGTCCAGGCCTGTTCAGAAAGTTCTAAAAGGTCTGCACTGGCATTTAACTAGCACAGCGCAGCTTCAAGGATCTGTCCTCTTTGGGTTTTACTTCTAAGGGTATTCTCCTTAGAGCAAGGATTGTCTCTGTGTCTGTATCTTGTACAGACCTGAGCACATCATTTGTGCTTACCAACTAATAATTAATAGTAATAGCAGGTGTCTCTTTGAAGCCATATTTGGACCGCTAAGATTTAGAGTTTTAGGGTCCAGTCCTGCCAGGTGCAGCGTATCCTTAGTTCCTAATGAATTAGACTGTGCTGATGTCATTGGGAGCTCAGAGCAATGGGAAATAGCATCCCACAAGACACTGCAGAAGGCACTCAGCACCATGCAGGACCGGGGCCTTGTAAACTACAGTATTACCACTAGTAAATCTCATTTGGGAATCCGTGCTCATGACCAATTGAAAAACATTTCACCCAGGAACACCCTGACCAATCAAGAAACAAAAGGAGCATTAGAGCGACGAAACGTTACTCAGCTAAATGTATTGTCAGACTAGAGTGGGGGCAGTGTTTAAACTTTAGGGGTGATATCCCTAAAGTCAAGGGGAGTTTTGCTCTCGACTTTAATGGAGCCAGGATTTCACCCTCGTAGCATTATTTTGGTTTATGTCTAGTAAAACAATCAACCATACAGATGCCACATTCTAAAAAACTCCTCCTGATGGTTATTGCTCTATTACTGAAACGACACAGGGGCCCCAATTCTTCCCTCCACTGAGACTGCTTTGTGACACTCACCCACAGCAAAGCAGCCTGGAAGCCACTTTCATCATAGTGGCCCCTACACCACCTCCTACTCTGCAGTGAGTGCAGGGAGTTTGGGCAGGCCATCCTTGCACCCCAGCAGTCTCCTGCTTTCATAACAGCTTTCTGGGGCCTTTGGCAGCCAATGTAACTTAGAGCAGCTTTCAGGCTGCTCTTAATTTATTCCAGTGCCCAGGTAGGGGGAAAGGAGCACCTTTGTACTCCACCCTTTGAGCAGCATGAGTGCCCCTTAGCTGCAGCAGAGGCTCAGAGCTATGGTATTAAGTCAAATCCACTATGCTACCCGAGGCAAAATAAATAAATAAATAAATCGCAGGGGTCTGGCAATGGCAGAACAAAGCTAACAGTCATATTTAAAATGACTATTCTTGGGGCACTCCTACCTTGGTTTCTTGGTGTTTGATTGCAAAGGTGTGACAGCACAAGCCAAGGAGTGCCAGGCTAAAGCTTAGGTAACTTTCTATTTAAGTGCCCCTAATGCTGTTTTTATTTACACTCTAAGCTTCCAGGCTCATTTATAAGTACTGTGTAAATCTTGGTTGCTTATGACTACGGCAGACATAACTTGTGGCTGTGACAAGCATGTGTAGAAGATCCAGGAATTTAAAAGGGCCTCATGACAGCAGAAAAAGAACAGAGTCAAAGGCCAGGGGGGTATTTCAAAGAGAAAAGATCTTATAGGATGGCTGGACAGCTGTAGCTACATTAACTGCACCATGGGAAGCAAGAAACAGTCACAATATCTAAGAAATAAATGCAGTGCCCAGCCAGTACCTGTTGTATTAGCTGTACTACATTAGATGCTAACACAGTTAGGGCTTGACTCATCTGGATCAGACCAACAGCTGCATGAGGAAACATTTGATAATTTCCCAAACATTATTTGACAGCTTAAATGGACCCCAGCATGCACTCTCAAGCTCCTTAGTGTGACAAGTTAGACCTACCATGACTATATCAGAGGCTTAGAGAAAAATATTTGTGCCTATTTTCCCATTTTGTTTACTTTGTGTTTTTGCAGCTCTGTGTAGAATCAGTTTCACTATTTCCCCTGCAAAGTACGAGCTTCACAGCAAAGTTAAATCGAGTTATAACTCATGTGGTGTCTAACTCCAGTACTGTCCATACACAATATCCCTTAATTTGAGCGTGGTGGTACTTTCAATGTGAGTTGGCTGGCCTGTCTGGGGGAAGAGGCTGCAGCTTGAGTCAGTACAACTCATCAGCTGCTAACACAATCACTCTGTGCAGCGCAACTGAGATTTTGCAATGTGGCTGCTCTCACCCAAGCTAGGCTAACTAACTTGAGTGTAGATAACTAGAGTTAACTGCAGTGAAGATACAGCCTTAATTAGCTATGCAGAGTCCTCTGTAGTTTGTCTCTTTCAAACAGCAACAAGGGAGAGAAAAACATTTCTAAATATAGGAAAATATACCTGTAAAATGAGAAAAAACCTGGCAGAATCTCACGTGCAAGTTTAATGGCTGAAATGACTTTTATTTTGGTATTTTTTTAGTTGTCTAGATTTCAAATGGACAAGCAAACAGGTGCACAAACACTCATTTGCATGTGCAAAAGGATTAATTGCATGTGCAAATGGCTACTTGTATGTCATTATGTGTGCATGTGTACTTACACATTTGACATGAGACAATTGCTCTCAAAATTACCTATTTATTTTTCAAGCAAAATACTTAATTTTGATAATTTGGTCACAAAGGTGGATTAAATAGAAGTCACAATCAAAAATTATTTATAGAACATAGTGAATTATTTATAGGATAGTTTTACATCATATTTCCTGAAGTTCATTGGGATATTATTAGTTTGCAGTTACCAGAGGTTTTTTAACTTCATCATTATAATAATCTTTTAAGTCTGTGTTTTCCTACTTATGTATTTTTATGTATTTTTGATTAACTGAATTGACTCATTTGTGCATACATAGCATACTTGAGAGCTAGATTTATCTCTGTGTATTTTTGCCTGATAAATGTTTTAATAATAGGCATAATAATACATAATTAATAATAATTATAAGCAGAGCTGGTTACACAACTTACAGTTAAGGTTTTTCAACACTTCCCATTCTGACACTTGTTTATGGTTGCTTATAATTTTCCCAACTTTAAACCATCCAGGTTGAAAGTTCCCATGCTAAGTGTCTGCTGTATGCTGAATTCTTTTGGAAAATCAAATCTTTTTTGCATCCTTAGTTTTGGCATTTGCTAACTTCTGAGTGCTTGACTTTCCAATGTTCTAGTAAGATAGTTTTTTAATATAACATGTATGGAGAAAAACGGTAAAGAGAAAAAGGAGAGAGAGTATATAGATATATTGTCTGCATGCTAAAGCCTTGACATGGTTCTATCCTGTGTGTGCGCATCTGCGTAGTTAGTTAAATAGATAGAAATATACATTTGTTTTCTTAGCTTTTCATTATTTTGTTCAAGGCAGCTGCAAACAGTTCCAAACACTGGGTGCGATTGTCCCTTCATGTGGCAAAAGACACAGAAAGGGTTTTTTGGTTGAAAATCTCCGTGAGATTTCCCTTGTGGAGGTTCCCCCAAATTAGTGTCTCAGCCTAGCAGTGCACTACCTTGTTTGGGTAAGATAGTACAACACCATAAGCAAGGAGACGGCTCAGATATATATGGTGGAGTGGGGTGGGGTGGGTATGGTCTAAAGAAGAGAAGGCGCAGGGGAGACATGATAAGTTTTCACATATGAAAATGGTTATTATAAACAGGACCGTGATCAATTGTTCTCCATGTCCACTGAGGGCAGAACAAGAAGTAACCGGCTTAGTTTGCAGCAAGGAATATTGAGGCTAGATATTAGGAAACACTTTCTAACTATACGCACCAGAACTGGTTACCAAGGGAGATTGTGGAATTTCCGTCCTTGGAGGTTTTTAAGAACAGGTTGGATAAACACATCTCAACTCTGTTAGGTGATTTACCTCAGGATCTGTATTTTGTAAGGCAGCCCAGTTTCTTACATAACAAGCGGCACAAAGGGCCATTGTACTGTAAAAAGTCCAGTGACGAGCTATTCTTCATTGCACTGGACTTATCAACAAGGAAAAGGGGAGCTAGATATAAAACATATGCACCCACCTGCATTTCTATCTGTTCGTTGAAGTTTCAGGAGAGAAGCTGAAGCAGAAGAAAGAATGTGTATACTTGGGAAGTACACTTAGGGCCATTAGAGGGAGTTCTGAAGAACTGAAAAAAAAGAACCCACTGGGCATGGGCAGCAGTGAAAAATGGCAGGAGTGCTGTGGGACCAGCAATTCAGTAACAAAGCGAAAGGAAAAGTGCATGCTGGGTGTATTTGTCCCTGCCTGCTCTATGGTTTGGAAATGGTCAATCCTACAGAGATGGAAGAAGAGAAGATACATAGAGAGTAATAGAAAATAATACACCGAGGATGGCAGGCAAGCAGCTGGTTGACAGAGTGCGCATGGAAGAAATTAGGGGGAAGATGAACTTGGGACTCTCAATGGTAGGCTTGAGAGTACATGTTTGGACACATAATACGAATGGGAGAAGACCAACCAGCACAGAAAGCACGGGAGGAAGAGGACAGAAAGAACGGCATGGAAGACTGAGGGGATATGATGGAAAGATTCTCTCAAGAAAAGCCTGAAGAGAAAAGGGCTGAAATTCCAAGACCTATGAACCCGGGCCACAGACCAGAAAGACTGGCAAAGAATCCTGGTCCCCTCCGATCCTGTGTAAACAGGAAAAGGAGTGGAGAAGAAGTGTATTTATCTTAACTTTAGCTTAACTTCTGTACCTGGAAAGATAATGGAGCAAATAATTAAGCAATCAATTTGCAAATACCTAGAAGATAATGTGATAAATAACAGTCAGCATGGATTTGTCAAAAACAAATCGTGTCAAAGCAACTGGATAGCTTTCTTTGACAGGGTAACAAGCCTTGTAGATGGGGGGGAAGAAGTAGATGTGGTATATCTTGACTTTAGTAAGGCTTTTGATACTGTCTCGCATGACCTTCTCATAAACAAACTAGGGAAATACAACCTAGATGGAGCTACTATAAGGTGGGTGCATAACTGGTTGGAAAATCATCCCCAGAGAGTAGTTGTTATCAGTGGTTCACAGTCATGCTAGAAGGGCATAATGAGTGGGGTCCCACAGGGATCGGTTCTGGGTCCGGTTCTGTTCAATATCTTCATCAATGATTTAGATAATGGCATAGAGAGTACAGTACACTTAAAAAGTTTGTGGATGATACCAAGCTGGGAGGGGTTGCAAGTGCTTTGGAGGATAGGATTAAACATCAAAATGATCTGGACAAACTGGAGAAATGGTCTGAAGTAAATAGGATGAAATTCAATAAGGACAAATGCAAAGTACTCCACTTAGGAAGGAACAATCAGTTGCACACATACAAAATGGGAAATGACTGCCTAGGAAGGAGTGCTGTGGAAAGGGATCTGGGGGTCATAGCGGATCACAATCTAAATATGAGTCAACAGTGTATGCTGTTGCAAAACCATTCTGGGCTGTATTAGCAAGAACGTTGTAAGAAGACACAAGAAATAATTCTTCTGCTCTACTCCATACTGATTAGCCCTCAACTGGAGTATTATGTCCAGTTCTGGGTGCCACATTTCAGGAAAGATGTGGACAAATTGGAGAAAGTCCAGAGAAGAGCAATAAAAATGATTAAAGGTCTAGAAAACATGACCTATGAGGGAAGATTGAAAAAAAAAAAGGGTTTGTTTAGTCTGGAGAAGAGAAGACTGAGAGGGGACATGCTAACAGTTTTCAAGTACATAAAAGGTTGTTACAAGGAGGAGGGAGAAAAATTGTTGTTTTTAACCTTTGAGGATAGGACAAGAAGCAATGGGCTTAAATTGCAGCAAGGGCGGCTTAGGTTGGACATTAGGAAAAATTGCCTGTCAGGTGGTTAAGCACTGGAATAAATTGCCTAGGGAGGTTGTGGAATCTCCATCACTGGAGATTTTTAAGGTTGGACAAACACCTGTGAGGGATGGTCTAGATAATACTTAGTCCTGCCTTGAGCAGGGGACTGGACTAGATGACCTCTCGAGGTCCCTTCTAGTCTATGATTCTATATAGTAAGCTCAGACTCTTCTCAGCACTTCATCAGCTTATGCTCCCTTCCCTCTGTAATGAAGATGTGTTGCTGGCAACACACACAATGACTAGATAGTTTACAAATAGTTTCTGGAGCTGAAGCCAATGGAAAGAGTGCTATTTACTTCAATGGGCTTCAGATCGGGTTCTTAGTGGAGGAGCTTGCCAAAAAGCAACTCCTGTGCATACACTGGTCTTACATCTTACAAAGTTTTAAAACTCACCAGCTGTCTGACTCATGATCCTGTCTGGTCTTGTGTCCTGAAGTACTGGCAAAGCCTATCGTCACTTCTGCCACCGTCCTCTGACCACATAGAAGGAACCAGCCCCTTTTTATCAGGAGCTGGCTTTGAAATGTCAGCATGTACAGTGCCAAGGGGTGGTGTTTGGAAAGAGGGAGTTGATCTGAAAGAATTAATACAACTTACACTGCACATAAAAAACCCTAAATACCAACAACATATAAATCACAACAGATCTGACTGGTGACGTGACAGCTGCAATCAATGACAATAATAGTGCCACAGACTTTTTTTCCCCCCCCCCATCAACAAGGGCAACACAAGTATGGACTATGAGTGATGTGGATGTATCCATGCCAACAGCACCACACTTCCAGAGCTGCCTTTAAAGCACAGCCAAAGAACGTTAACCCTGAAAGTCACAGCATTTTCCACAGGGGCAGATCTGGCTGCCTTGGAAGTTAATGAGAGTTTTGCCATTAACTTCAACAGTGGAAGGAAAATCCAGCATCCTCATCTGTGGCCAGGGGAGCACCTGTTGGGTGGGAGTCAGCATGAATATGGGGAACCACGCATGGGAAGCCCAGCATGGAGCTCTGCTGTACTTGAGCTCCCTGCCCTGTGCAGCAGTGTGCAGGATTTCCGAAGGGGGGGGGGGGAACATGGGTGGGCAAGGGCAGAGCATCCCTCTCTCTTACTCCCCCACTGGCTCACGGTGTAAGGGTCTGTGCTGGAATAATCTCTGCAAAGCAGTGGTGGAGCCACCCGCACCATCCCCCTCCACATCTGTCCAATGGCCAGCGTGGCTCCTCAGGTCGGGCACTGGGGTGCGGATTTGGACGTTAGTGCGCCCTTTGTACACACAACTACCTGCTTACAAGTGCATCTGAAATGGCTGTGTTTGAACGTGTATCCTTGTATGATCCCAGCCCCCAAAGGTTAAACACACAGAGGTGTGACTTTCAATAAATTAGTTTAACTGTATGATACTGAGGAAGTACTTTTGTAGTAGTTTTATCTCTAGAGTGAGAGACCTTTAGAATATCTATTGATTAAATCACTGCACAGTGAGTCACCAGAACTTGAAGTTGTATACTGGGCAGAGCTATAATTCATGTTATTCTTCTGTCTGCAAGGATAAAATAAAACAAAACCAGAGAAATCAGTATCACCAACCAGCACTTATTTCCCTTATTTGAGAGTTCACGCCTCATCATAGTTTTAGCCTCCAAGAGAAAGAAAACTCCCAGGGTATGGCAACAAAGACTCATTTCCTGTTAGAAAACTACATGCTATAAAAACAATTAGCATTATATTATATATAATTTGCAAACAACAAAAGGCTCTGTCACATATTTACTTATAGGTTTTTGTCTTTTATTGTATAAACAGTTAGGCCTACCACAGGCGCTGACTCCATGGTGCTCTGGGGCTGGAGCACCCACAGAAAAAAAAATAGTGGTTGCTCAGCACCCGCTGGCAGCCCACGGATCCTCTTCCTCCCCACCAGCACCTCCCGCCCACTGGTGGCCCTGTCAATCAGCTCCTCCCCCCTTGCCCCCAGCGCCTCCCCCCCATTGTGATCAGCTTCGTGAAGGAAGAGGCAGGGAAAGAGGGTGGGAAGAAGCGGGACAAGGGCTTGAGGGAAGGGGTGGAGTGGGGATGAGGCCTGGGGTGGGCAGGGGTTGAGCACTCCCAGGAACTGAGGAAGTCAGCACCTGTGTATAATATAATGCTACATTTTTCAGAAGTGACTAATGATTTGGGTGCCTCCATTTTTGGGGTGCCTGATTTGAGTCACCTTAAAGGGGCCTGACTTTTAGGGTGGGGTACTCACAACTTTCCGAAAATCAGGCCCTTTAAAAGTTGTCTTGAGCTGAGCACCTAAATATGGAGGCTCCCAAAAGCACCAGTCCCTGCTGAGAATTTAAGCTTTTGTATCTATACACAGTTGTCATGTTTCAAACACTTTTGAAATGTAAACTAATCCTCCCAACACCCCTGTGAGGTAAACATTGCTCCAATTTTACAGAGAAACTTAGGCAGAGAAGTTGTAACTTGCCAAAGAGTGAGCAATACATAAACTTAAATATAGTCACATAAGCCATCCATTGAGACCCTGATTCAACAAGGTACTTAAGCCCATGCCTAACTTTAAGCTCGAATAGTCTTTCATTGGCTTCTGTGGGCCTACTCCCATGCTTAAAGTTAGTAACTGAACAAATGTATAAAAATCAAATTCTGTCTGAAGATAATTTGTGCACAGTAAAAGATATTAAATTTGGTATATCAATAGTTTGCTGCAAACGGTTTGTGCAGCTGTACTAAAGAGACCCAAATACAGATAGGACCAATAGGATAGTAAAACGTGTATTTATTTTAAAACATTTTCATTATCAACTGCTTGCCTAAAATATTATCTCACAGAATAAAATGAGACATATAGACTGACAGACATGCTGTTGTAGGGCCAGATCCTTAGCTGGGATAAGTCAGTGCATCTCCATTGAAACTGCTGGAGCTACACTGATTTACCATCACCTTAGGAGCTGGCTCATAGTTTTCAAGCTGGATCTTATCTGAGATTCTGTTTTGTTTCTTCTCCATTTAAGTACGATTCTGTTTCTGTAAAGACGTATTCATGATAAAATAGTAATAATAATAATAATAATTCTAAACAAATAATACAATCTGAATGCTCTTGTGAATATTATATCTCAGATGAATATACGCTGGTTCACAAACACTCTGACTTGCATATTTTAAATACGGGCTGTGACAGAAGTGCATCAGAAATTATCCTGACACATTCCATGCGTATGGCGGGCAAAGTCTCCTTTGATCTTACAAGCCAACTTGAGCACAAAGGGCAACCAGATGTCAGTGTTTCATGTAGGTTTGCCAAGCCTGCAATGGTTCCAAAATGTCTGGGTTTCGCTTCTTAAGAGCCTTTTTTTCTTCAGTTTAAATATAAAAAGTAATTAAAATCCAAGAGCTTATGCAAACACATTGTCAATTTCACCTATTAGAGTAAAGCTAGTTATAGCTGGTAAACCCTTCTCAAGCTAGTGGGACAGATTCCAAATCTGGAGAACGCTGAGTCTGTCACAGAATAAACCCCTCTGATTTTCTCTATATGAATGGGGAAGGATTTTCCTTTTCAGTTTTTTGTCTTTTTGTTGGGAAAGAAGCTCTGCAGCCACACAAAGCAACGCTGACCTCCCTTGCCCACTGGTATCACTCCACAAGGCCACCAGTAACAAACCGCATTCTTCCATCAGAGGACTGCATGGGAATGAAGCCTTTTTCAGCCTAATAGTGGCGTAATTTAACTGCACAAAGTACCAACTGGCTGCCCATTATTTGGACTCCACTGGAAGCTAAACGGCTCCAAATACAGCAAAAACTTTTAAGTACCTGCTTAACTTTCATCATGTAATTAACTCCTATTGACTTCAATGGGTCTTAGGAAGGGGCTTAAATTCTGTGCTGAATCAGGCCCCAAATGAAGCCATTTATTTATGTACCTAGCGAGAGGAATTTAGGTGCCTAACTTCAGGCACCTACGTTTGAAAAAAATGTATCTGCATTTCTATGTACATTTTTATTCATTAGATGCATCACTATGGATCTAATCCCAGGCCCACTGTAGTCAATGCCTCCCAGTGATGTCTACAGAACCTGCTCCTTTTGAAGTCAGTGCCAAAAATACCAATGGCCAGCAGGGTCAGGATTGGACCCTTGGTGATAACTTTTTATTCATTCAAGATGTAATGGGAGGTTTTTAGGAACAGGTTAGACCAATACCAGTCAGGGATGGTCTAGGTTGACTTGGTCCTGCCTCAGCACAGGGGACTGATATGGCCTCCTGAGGTCCCCTCCAGCCCTACATGTCTATGATTCTATGAAATGTATGTAAAATGTAGATACAAAATTTCAAACTAAGATACCTGAAGTTTAGCACCTAATTTGTATCTCTAGGTACACAAATAAGAGGTCCCAAATACAGGCCCCAATTCTGCCGCCCTTGTGCTGGCAGCATTTTGCCAGCACAAGGACTGAAACAGAAGCCCTACAATGAATACAGATGAATGAATTTACAGGCCAAGCCATCTCATAGATCTCATGAGGCAAATATATATATATATATATATATTTGAAACAAGTAAATGACAAGTACATTTCCAATATGCCATAACTTTAAACCTTCTTTCCTGGTTGCTACCAAACTTTCCAAAAGAGCTTTACTCGGGAATGAAATGTGACATGCAAAATTTCAGGAAGATCAATTTCTTTTCAGGTGTGGTAGTAAAAATTATGCTTCCAGGGGAATGCCAGCGTCAATCTTAACTATGGCCCAACTATTGCTGCACCAGAATAAAGCATTTGGATATAATATGGTACATTGAAAAGTATATTACACTATGTACATATTTACATTATGTATTTCTGCATTTCATAAAACTCCTCAGAGTTTGCAGCAACAAATTTCTTTCAAAACACAGACAACACCTAAAGCAAACAATAATGTTCTTACAATTGTAAAAGGAGTTGATAAGAGTTAAATAAATCAGTAGACCATGTATTGATTCAGGGGTAAAATGGCTTATCCATGTGCAAAAACCATAACAGCGGAGGACCAGGAAAATAGTTGATCAAATACCTCTCCACCTTCAGCAAATGACTAGAGATGTGTGCGCATGCATGAGAAGCAGGAATTTCCAAATTAGTGTTTTAGAAAAATATATTTCCTTTTCAGGCCTCCATTCTTTTTTTCTACAGTAAAAACAATTGTCTTTCATGTTTGCTAGGGTTCTTTGGTATCTGGATTAAACAAAGTTAATACAGGAAAAGAAGATATAGGTGAGTTTAAGCAAAACTGCATCTCGGCCAACTCGCACTGAAACTCAAACTAACAGTTAGAAGCAAACAAGAAGCTGATCCTGCACAATGTGCATGCCTGGGCATCTCTGGATAGGAGAGCAGTCCCATAGCACGGCATAAAGTTACTTAGGTGCCCATGATATTGCAGGTTCAGGCCCTTCGACCCTGATCCTAGAAACTAGCACGTGTGTGATTTTATGTAGGTGAATAGTCCCGCTGAATTTGACTGGACTGTTCATGAGTGTAAAATTACACACATTCGTACATCTCTGCAGGCTC